TTGTTTTTCCCATTAGGGTAAACATGACATCGTTCTAATAACACATCAGCCAAGCGGCACAAATGCTGAACGACTTTAACCGTGAATATGGAAAGGTCGGACTACAGCTGAATTTTACAAAGAATGTTTATGAGAAACAGCCTTGTTCCTGACGCTCCATTCGCTCTCAACGGAACCACCATCTCCGAATGCAACAGTTATATATACCTAGGTCGAGAAATCAACATGATGAATGACCTGGCACCTGAGTTGCGCAGGAGGAAGAGAGCGGCTTGGAATGCCTTCAAGAACATTGAAGAAATAACTAAAAGGACAAAGAGCCTCCAGCTACGAGCACATCTCTTTGATTCCACTGTTCTTCCTGCATTAACGTATGCCTCAGAGACCTGGACCCTACGAGAACAGGATGAGAACGCTATTCGGGTCTCTCAAAGAGGAATTGAAAGAGCTATGCTTGGAATATCACGATTCACTCAAATGAGAGATAGAATCCGGAGTTCTGATCTTCGTCAATGCTCCAGAATCAGGGACACTGTCTCATTTGCCAAGACATCAAAAATCAGATGGACTGGACACGTAATGAGGTTTACAGACAACCGCTGGACTAGAGCCATTACTGATTGGATTCCACGGGACATCAAAAGATCACATGGCTGCCCACCTACAAGATGGTCAGACTTCTTCGTCAAGACCCTGAATGATCGGTTTGAGGCTCTGCATGTTCCTAGAACGAACAGATACCATTGGGCTACGTTAGCACGCAACCGGGATGAATGGAGACGTTACTGGCACCCGCTTGAGTAAATCGATGAATAATGGGGATTAAGTGATTAAGTGATTAGGGTATAGAGATGAAATATTACATTAGTTTCAGTTACCACATTGTCAGGGTCCTGGCCAGTCGACCCTGGCAAACTGGAGAACGAACCCCTGAAGTCACCGGACTTACTCCCTGTAGGAGAGGGAATGGGTAGGGAAGAAGCCTCTGCCCGGCCCTCCGCTCACCGCGAGAAAAAACAGAGCAGATGGAGGGGAGTCTGGTGGTTTAACAGTTCTCAGTTTATTGGCCCCTATCCAGGGATTCTTATAGTACACTGGGGGTAGGGGGGCAATCCCACACTCAGAGAGGGGGCCAATCCCACATACATTGCGTTTCTCAGATAGGGTTTGTGCAGATGTCAGTTAATGATTTACATATCCTGCTCTTAGGGCCAGGTTAACAATATGGGTGGGTGGGTACAGTCATGTCCCTCATTCTTAACCAGAGAGCCCCCTGTGGGGAGTGCTTGAGCGGGCCCCCTGTGTCTTTATAAATAGGGCCTGCTCTTGCTTCCAGGGGCAGGGGATTTGGTCAAAGTCTGAGACTAGCTGCTGAGACCCCAACACCACATAATGATTCAATATTTATATATTGTGAAACCACCACATGAGTCTAATTAATAGCTATCATCATGAATAAAATTTTTTCCTTGTGATAAAAGCTTTTATTACTTACTCTCCTAGCAACTTTCAAATATAATCTGTAGTATTTTTAACCATAGCCTCCACTCTGTAAATGGGTTAGGGTTCTTGCCTTGCACACAGCTGATCCCAGTTTGATACCTGCACCATATGTCATCCCCACAGCCCTGCCTGGAATGATATCAGCACCAGGAATAAGCCCTGAGCAGAGGTAGAAATAAACCCTAAGCACTGTTGTGTGTGGCCCAATCCCTCGTCCTCAATAGTACTGCAGTAATTATGGGGGTGTTTGTATCTTTATGAGTTCATATTATTTTCTTTGGTTAAGTACTCATAAATGGACTCCTTGGTTACATATTCTATTTTTAATGTTTTCAAGGAACTTCATAGTTTCCCACAGTGGCTGCTTCAATTTACATGTCCACCAATGCCATTCATTTTCTCTACCTTCTTTCCTATGCCTGCTGGTTTTTGTGTTATTGATAATAGCAATTTTAAAATGTGACCATAATTTCTTGTGGTTTTGATTTGCATTCTCTTGTGATTAGTGATACTGAGCATCTTTTCATGTGTTTGATAGCTATATGACTGATTTGGAAAAATATCAGTTTAGACAAATAAAAACAGCATTTCTTTCTTCATTGTGTTTTTTTCTTTTTTTTCACTCTTAGGTGATATAAGTTCCTTGTATATTTTGAATATTAATGTCTTATCAGATAACTGACTTGCATATCTTTTCTATCAATCCAGAGGTGACCTTTTCATTTTGTTGATGGTTGCTGTGCAGAAGTTCTTTACATTGATACAGTTCTGTTTCTTTATCTTTGCTTTTTATCTTGATGTCAAATCAAACCAAAATCATAGACAAAATCAAAATAAGGATCTCGATGCCTGTATTTCTTTTCAAGGGGTTTGTTTCAGGTCTTAAGTTCCAATCTTTCACCTGTTTTGAGTTTGTACTTGTGTATGGCGTTACACAGTGGTCCTTATGCATTATTTTACTTGTTGCTGTCCAGCATTCCCAACATCTTCTAATGACGACATCATTTTGCATTTTGTCATTGTGTATTCTTGAATGCTTTGTCATAAATTAATTGACCAAGTATTTGTGAGTTTATTTCTCCATCAATGGAGGTCATTGCTCTGCTGATCTATGTGTCTGCTTTTATGCAGTGCCTTGGTGTTTGGGTTATAGTTTTCTAATATTGCTTTGAAATCGAAAGTTAATATTCTTTTTTCTCAAAATTATGTTGACTATTCTGAGCCTTTTATGATGCCACAAAACTGTAGTGCTGTGTGTTCTATTTATAAAAGAACAAATTCAATTAAAATTTTAATAGGGACTGCATAGATTCTGTAGATTGTATTTCAGTAATATAAATTCTTCCAAATGGAATCTTATATTTCTTCGGTTCTTCATAACTTCTTTTTAATTAGTTTATCATAGGTTTTAGTGTGCAGGTCTTTTACCTGCTTCATTATATTTATTCTTAGGTGCTTAATTCTTCTGATATAATTATAAATAGAATTTTTTCTTTCATTTCTACTAGTTTATTATTAGTGTATATGAGTGAAACAGATTTTTTACATTGATTTTGTATCCTACAATTTTATTTAATTTTCATTTTCGAAGAGGTTTTGGGTAGAGCCTTTTGTGTTTTTATATATAATACTGTGTTCTCTACAAAGGTAATGTCAGTTTAAATTTATCCATTTTGATTCGCATACTTTTTCTTCTTTTTCTTAAGTACTCTGGTACATTCAATACTATTTTAAACAAAATGTCAGTAGTGTCTTTTCCTGGTATTTGAAGGAAAGCTTTCAACTTTTGCTAATGTTATGATGTGGTGGTATATGATATGATGAAAGTATGATGTTAGCAGTGGGTTGCCATTATGGTGTTTATTATATTGAGGTAAATTCCCTCTAAATCTACTCTGCCGAATTTTTATCATAAGCAGATGTTGACTTTTGTCCAATGCTTGTACTGCATCTCTTGGGATGATCATGTAGTGTGTGTGTGTGTGTGTGTGTGTGTGTGTGGCGGGACGTTTAAGGGTGGTGGCTGTGGGGAGGAGTGCTGGCTTCAAACTCAGGTCCTCTCACATGCAAGGCGTGTCTCTAACATTGATCCATATTCCTAGCCCTCACAAGCATGTGATTTTTAGCCTACACTTTATTATGTTGTGTGAATCATGTATTGCTTGATTTGTGAATGTCTAACTGTCCTGAATTCCTGGGATAAATCCTACTTTATCTTGGCATGTGACAGTTTTATTAAATACATTTTTGAATTTGCTTTACTGATTTTTGGTGAGGATTTTTGTGCCTTTGTTCATTAGGGATATTGGCCTATAATTTTCTTTGTTCTGCCATCCTTGTTTGGTTTTGTTGTCAGAGCAAGGCTTGTCTCATACAGATAGTTTGGAAGCATCCACTCTGAAGAAAACTTCCGTTTTCTCTTGGAAGAGTTTGAGAGGGACTGGTATTTACTGTCCTTTGTGTGGTGGAACTCACTGGCAAAGCTGTCTGGTCCTTGACAGGCATACCGGAGTTTTCTGATTACGGATTCAGTCTCTTTACCAGCAATTTGTTTTGATTTCTTAGTTTTTCATGATTTATACTTGGTAGGGGCTGGAGCCATAGCACAGTGGTAGGGTGTTTGCCTTGTGTGCAGCCGGCCTGGCTGAGCCGGGATCAATTCCTCCACCCCTCTCGAAGAGCCTGGCAAGCTACTGAGAGTTTCTTGCCCACACGGCAAAGCCTGGCAAGCTACCCGTGATGTATTCAATATGCCGAACCCAGGAACAAGTCTCACAATAGAGATGTTACTGGACCCACTCGAGCAAATTGATGAACAATGGGAGGACAGTGACAGTGACAGGTTGTATGTATTTGAAAACTTACTACCTCTAGGCTTTTAGTTTGTAGCTCAAGACTTGGCTATGCTCAGGGCTTACTCCTGGCTCTACAACCCAGAACCAGGCCTGATTTGGCTTAGGTCACCAGATATGGTCTCTGGGTGTTGAACCCTCTGGCCAGCTTCGTGCAAGACTATGAGAGTTATTTACTAAACTTGCCCAGAAAAAGAAATAAACCAAAGCCATAAAAACAGACAATTTTCACCCTTACTTTTAAACATTTATAGCTTACTGTTACAGTGCTCTGTGGTGTAGCCAAAGTATCTTAGGTTTACTTGATACTAATAGTTGGTAATAATGGACCTGTGAAAACGTTATAGCATGAGCAAAAGAATTGACAAGACACTGGTTTTCTCTCAAATAAACTTTTAGAAATGAACTGATTTGTAAGTAGAGGATTGTCTTTGTTTCTGTGGTATTCCTCAGTGGTAAGGAGGATAGGAATGTAAGTGTACTGTTTATTTAGTAATCATCATATGCTTACTAGAATACTTGTTGCATTTTGTAGTGAAAAACCCACAAAATTCCCTTTTTATGAAGAAAAAAATCTGAATAGAACATCATGATTTGTTGCAAACATTCTATTTTAGTGTATTTTGTTTTTTTTTATCTTAACAGACTTTGCTTCGCCCTCTTCAAGCTTTATGCTCTTTTCAACTTCAGCATGGAGCTCAGATTCGCCTCAGCAAGGAACATCTTCTGAAAAATGGATTATATCCTAAGCCAATGCCAAAGAACAAACGAAAACTCAGGAAAATGGAACTGTTAATGAACAGTGTCAAAATTTAGTGCAAATATTTCTTATGGTGCGAATTCTAGTGACTTTGGCCGGTGTTGCCAAGTTTTCATACAGTTTAAGTTTGTGGGTTTTTGACTATGGGAGTTAAATACTAACTTGCCCAGAAAAAGAAATAAACCAAAAGCCATAAAAATAGACAATTTTCACTGACTCAGTAAAAAGTAACTTTATATTACATTTATATTTTTAGAAAAAATGAAAGCCTTGAATGCATCTTTTCAAATCCATAATGTAAAAAATGATTAATTTTTGAGCTGGGTTTGAAGTTCTTATATAATGGAAAGAAATTGTTGTACCCAAGTAGAACAGTGTTGTTTATATTAACATTTATACATCATTAGTGTAGATATAAAGTAGAAAATACCTACATCAATTCACAATGTAGTACATGAACTTTATAGTTTGAATAGCTGATGAAAATAATGATAATCAGGTAGTTTAGACTTATTTATTTCATAATAGAATAAGGAAACTGTCCTTTAGGAACAAAACTTGAACTTAGCTAATGGGATTTAAATGTTTGGTTAATTGCTCTAATTTTTGAAGAGCTGTGTGTAATTTTGAAATAGCACGTTTTTATTTATAACCACTATTAATAAGTTTTTTGGTATTCATTAAATATGATAACTGATAAATACTTATACTGCAGTGAAAATAAATATAATGCAATACGAATAATTTTTTGAAAAACTAATTTCTATAGCTATTCAAATCTCTTTTCATAAATAAACCCAAATTTTCAATTTGAGAATAAATTTCCCCCATTGTGATCTTGGGATTATATTCACTGAAATTTCTGTATAGATGAGATATGTACATAATGTATAATTATATCTAACTCACATTTGTTGTACATAGTGGCAGTGTTTTGGCAATAAGAAATTTTGTTTTATTCTTTTTTATAGTGATTTCTAGAGTTTCCTGTATCCAGTATTAAATTGTAAGGAAAAATTAAAGATGCAGTTTTCAAAGTAAACTTGACATTTATTATGTGTATTTGTGATGCATAAGTAAACACCACTAAATATTTTTTATCTTTTTTTTTTTTTCATTTTCGACCACACCAGGTGTTGCTCAGGACTTATTCCTGGCTCTGCACTCTGGGATCACTCCTGGAGATCCTCAGAGGACTATATGGGATGCCAGGGATCGAATCCAGGTTGGCCTTGTGCAAGGCAAGCACCCAGCCTTTTGTACTATCTCTCTGCTGTGCCATTTTCATTCATTTTTTTTTTTAAATTTTGAACTGTATTAGATCCTTATTAAATACTGTCACAATTAGAATGTTAAAAATGCTATACAAAACTGCAGAAAATATTTGAAAATATTAAATAACAGTTTGGTTTCTGGAACGGCTCCAATTCCAACAGGTACAGCCCGCCCCCAAGGGCCTGGGTCCCTCTCTGGGCACGCGCAGCTAGAAACAGCCCCTAGAAAGCCGGTTTTCAACCCCTGATCTGCGTGGGACGGGCACAGAGGCCCAGCTCTGGGCAACAAAGCTGAACGGCTCCAATTCCAACAGGTACAGCCCGCCCCCAAGGGCCTGGGTCCCTCTCTGGGCACGCGCAGCTAGAAACAGCCCCTAGAAAGCCTGTTTTCAACCCCTGATCTGCGTGGGACGGGCACAGAGGCCCAGCTCTGGGCAGCAAAGCTGAACGGCTCCAATTCCAACAGGTACAGCCCGCCCCCAAGGGCCTGGGTCCCTCTCTGGGCATGCGCAGCTAGAACCAGCCCCTAGAAAGCCGGTTTTCAACCCCTGATCTGCGTGGGACGGGCACAGAGGCCCAGCTCTGGGCAGCAAAGCTGAACGGCTCCAATTCCAACAGGTACAGCCCGCCCCCAAGGGCCTGGGTCCCTCTCTGGGCATGCGCAGCTAGAACCAGCCCCTAGACAGCCGGTTTTCAACCCCTGATCTGCGTGGGACGGGCACAGAGGCCCAGCTCTGGGCAACAAAGCTGAACGGCTCCAATTCCAAACAGGAGACGTTCCCAACTCCTCGCCAGTGCCAGGGACTCTTTCCGGAGCCGCGGCCGCTAATGCGGCCGCGAAATATTTTCCCACTACGTATGCCATAGGAACCATAAGCTACCTTCTTAGATGGAAACTTCTCTATTTTAGCTCAGCCACTAGAAACACAGTAGCCAATAACTCATAAGCCTATCTTAACTCACACTGCATATCAAGCAGACTAGTAACAGTGAACATGAAGGACTAAACCACACCTCTCACAATGGTAAAGCAACGCAAAAGCCCACCAAACTTTCATATTGAAGAGTCTAGCCCAGATGACACCAACAGTACTGTAGTGTTAGATAACCTCTCTGACAAGGAATTCAGAAGGGAGCTACTTAGGATGCTTAGGGAATTAAAAGAAACAATGGAAAGCAATGCCAATAGAAGACAAGAGGATCTGAAGGCAGAAATGAGGAAAATGCAATCAGAAATGTCAGACCTGAAAAATCTCGTAGGCGAATTGAAAAGCTCAGTGGAAGGCCTCAGCAGCAGAGTAAGAGCGGCTGAGAACAGAATCAGTGAGTTCGAAGATGAAGTTCAGAGACTCTCCAGAAAAGAGCAGAAAATGGAAAAGAGACTCACAATTCAGGAACAGATGGCAAGAGAAGATCGTGATGAAGCCAAGAGGGGTAACATAAGAATTATTTGAGTCCCAGAGGTACAGGAAGAAAACCTCGATGAAGAAGAAACTGTCAAAGACATCATTGCTACAACATTTCCAGAGCTGAAGAAAACTTGTGACCACATTCAGGAGGCCTGAAGGGTACCAGCTAGAAGAAATCCGAATAAAAATACCCCAAGACACATTCTGATCAAAATGACCAAAACCTTAGACAGAGACAAAATTCTGAAAGCAGCAAGATCGAAGAAAGAAATCTCTTACAAAGGAGCATCCTTAAAATTCACAGCTGATTTTTCTGATGAAACCCTCATGGCCCGAAAACAGTGGTGGGACATAGTAAAAAAACTCAATGAAATAAATGCCTCCCCAAAAATACTTTTCCCAGCAAGACTCTCATTCATAATAGAAGGAACAACACACAGTTTCACAGACAAACAACAGCTCAGGAACTTCATAGACTCAAAACCATGGTTACAAGAACAACTAAATGGGCTACTTTAAGGCAAGAAAGGCCCCTCAAATACACCAAATTTTAACAGAACAATGGGACAAAATCCCATAACAATAATCTCTCTCAATGTCAATGGGCTAAACGCACCAATTAAAAGACATAGAGTGGCAGGATGGATTAGAAAATTGAACCCAACATTCTGCTGCCTGCAAGAAACACATCTCAATAGTCAAAGCAAACACAGACTCAGAGTCAAAGGCTGGAAAACAATCCTACAGGCAAACAGCTCCCATAAAAAAGCTGGGGTAGCCATCCTTATATCAGACCACATCGATTTCAGAGTGAGGAAGGTCATAAGAGACAGTGAAGGCCATTTCTTATTGATCAAAGGATCTGTACAACAGGAAGAACTTACAATAATAAATGTATATGCACCTAATGAGAGACCAGCAAAGTACTTAAAACAACTACTCATAGATTTGGAAAAAGACATCAATAACAACACAATACTAGTGGGAGACTTCAACACTGCTTTGTCACCTCTTGATAGATCAACCAGACTCAAGCTTAGGAAGGACATACTTCATTTGAGGGAAACAATGGAAGAAAGGGACTTAGTAGATATATACAGGACACTTGATCCACAAAAAGCTGAATACACATTCTTCTCAAGCGTACATGGAACATTCTCCAAGATAGACCACATGCTGAGCCACAAAACATGCCTCCATAAAATTAAGAAGGTAGAGATTGTATCAACAATCTTCTCAGACCATAATGCGCTGAAATTAGAAGTAAATCACACACAAAAACAGAAAACTAAATCAAACACCTGGAAATTAAACAGTGCACTATTGAACAACGAGTGGATTAGACAGGAAATCAAAGATTCCTAGAAACGAATGAAAATGAGAACACGAGTTACCAAAACTTATGGGACACAGCAAAGGCTGTGTTAAGAGGAAAGTTTATAGCTCTACAAGCATTCCTCAGGAAGGAGGAGCGAGCACACATAAGTAACCTAACCTCACAGCTTAAGAGCTTGGAGAAGGACCAAAAAAAAGAAGCACAACCCGAACAGGAGAAAGGAAATAATAAAACTCAGAGCAGAGATTAACGAGATGGAAACCTAAAAAACAATCCGAAAGATCAATGAAACCAAAAGCTGGTTCTTTGAGAAAATTAACAAGATCGATAAGCCTCTAGCAAAACTCACAAAGGGAGAGAGAAAACCCAATAAACCGAATCAGAAATGAAAAGGGGTTCATTACAACAGAAACCACAGAAATTCAGAGGATCCTCAGGGAGTATTTTGAGAAGCTTTATGCCACGGAACATCAAAACCTCGAGGAAATGGATAAATTCCTAGACTCCTACAGACTCCCAAGGCTGAACCAAGAAGACCTGGAATACCTGAACAGACCTATCACCATCAAGGAAATTGAAATGGTAATAAAAAGTCTCCCCAAGCACAAAAGTCCTGGCCTGGATGGATTCACTAGTGAATTCTTCCAAATCTTTAAAGAGGACTTACTCCCGATGCTCTTTAAGCTTTTCCACGAAATTGAAATATCAAAAACACTTCCGAACAGTTTCTACGAAGCAAATATCACACTGATACCAAAAGCAGACAGAGATACCACAAAGAAAGAGAATTACAGGCCGATATCCCTGATGAACACAGATGCAAAGATCCTCAACAAACTACTAGCAAATAGAATCCAACTACTCATCAAAAAGATCATACACCATGACCAAGTAGGATTCATCCCAGGGATGCAAGGAGGGTTTAACATTCGGAAATCAATCAACATAATCCACCATATCAACAAAAGAAAAGATAAAAAGCATATGATCATATCAATAGATGCAGAGAAAGCATTTGATAAGATCCAGCACCCCTTTATGATGAAAACCCTAGCCAAAATGGGTATAGAGGGGACCTTCCTCAACATAATTAAAGCCATCTACCACAAGCCTACAGCAAGCATCATCCTCAATGGGGAAAAACTGAGAGCCTTCCCTCTAAGATCAGGGACGAGACAGGGATGCCCACTCTCTCCACTGCTGTTCAATATAGTACTGGAAGTACTTGCAATAGCTATTAGGCAGGAAAAAGATATTAAGGGCATTCAGGTAGGAAAGGAAGAAATCAAGCTCTCACTATTCACAGATGATATGATACTCTACATAGAGAACCCAATAACTTCCACCCAAAAACTCCTAGAAACAATAGACTTGTATAGTAAAGTTGCAGGTTATAAAATCAATACCCACAAGTCCATGGCTTTCCTATACGCAAACAGTGAGAGAGAAGAAAGCAACATGAAAAAAAAATCCCGTTCACAATTGTGCCCCAGAAAATCAAGTACCTAGGAATCAGCTTAACTAAGGAAGTAAAGGACCTGTACAAAGAAAACTACAAAACGCTACTTCAGGAAATAAAAGAGGACATGAGGAAATGGAAAGATATCCCCTGCTCATG